AGGGGGGGGGGGGGGGGGAGTCCAAGGAACCTCTCATTCTGTCTTTAAGTGCTGGGCTCTGCTCTGTATTTTGTCTCCTTGACACAGGGGCTTTGGGGGATGCCCCCAGCACAACTTCTTCATAAGAAAATCTCCAGCCTCTGGAAATGTTGATTCTTCCAGTGCCAAGAGCTTGAGTGATGTCCACGTTTTCAGGCTAATTGCTGGAGAAGCCCAGTCATTTTCTGAAAGGTTTCCAATGGTCAGTTATACCAGTGTCAAGGAATCTGGCCTAACCCAAGGAGGAGAGGGTGAGAGAGCTCTGTATGGGATGTTTGGGGAGGCCTGGCCTGCACCTGCAGAAAGTCCTCTCAGGTGGTACTGACTGCACTTGAATGACTGCTGTGTAGGACCGTTTCCTTGCCTTTGGTCCTGGGGAATAGTTGGGTTTTTCTTTTCTCCTCTCTAGTGGCACAGGCAGCCCAGTGACTGGTGTTAAATGGCTCTCCCATCACACACTTCTGCAAGGACCACCTTGGTGTGGGTCTGAGGACTGGACCAGGCAGAGGGAGCTCCAGCTTACTTCTGGGTGCCCTACAACATTGCCTTTCCCTTTCCTTCATCCCTAGCTCAAAAAATAACACAGGGGAAGTTGTCCTGAGTGGCACATTCTGTTTGTCTTTCTTTCCCCCACAGACAGAGGTATCTCCAGCATTTCTTTCCCTGCACAGTAGTTTGCCCTGTGCTTTAAATTGATATGGCTTGGGTTTAATCTTTAGGCCCATCTCCCACTCAGGCTGTATCTGTAGGACAAGTGGGGGACCTGTGGCTGAGGACCATTTGGCGAGTGGGTGTGCAGCGCCACCTCCTGGCCACAGTACCCACTGTAGGTCCACTCTTGCTCAACAGTTGCCAGGACAGTTCATCTGAAGCAAAAGGAACTTGCAAAAGATATTCTGAAGTCCATTTCTGGTCAGTCCTATAATGCCCAAAGCTTTTTATATTTGCTTGGCCTTTCTGGGGATGCCTTGCCAAGACTCTTATATTGCCGAAGCCCAGATTGTCAATGTGGGACTAAGCAGCTGCAGTCTAGAGGCAGAAGCATCAGCCTAGGTCCTGAGGCTGTGGATGTGTGTGTCCCAAGGGGTTAATTCACCTGTGTTTTACCAATTAGGCTCCCTTTCTTTGAGGGGAGGGAGTATTAAGGGAAGTGGCTGGGGTGTGGGAGGGAGAGAAGGGTATGAACAGAGTACAGCGTATTCCTTGGGGCTGTGGCTGTTCTGGAGTTTCTGGTCTCTTGTTTCTAGTCTGCAATCTTTAGGCAAATTGGGCTCAGTTCTGCCATTGAGCCAGCATCTAGAGGAACACACTGAACAGAACTGCAGCTCCACTAACTCAACGGGGACTAGGTTATTCCATTGTCTAGAACGGATAGTCTTCCTGGAAGCTGGTGTTGGGGAGGCTTTTTGTCTTCGTGAATTAATTTTGAGGGCATCTTCAGTGTGCTACGACTGGAGCAGCAGAGCACCTAGATAATATACCTGGCCCCTTCAATTCCTGACATTTCTGCTTTGAAAAGAAAATGTTGGAATAAACATATACATTTCACCCTAACTGTATGTGGTCATTTGCCAGGTTTATACTGTGTGCCTTGGTGGAGCTGACAGATTAGAGGGTCTATAGGAATGGGCATAGCTAAACTATGGACAGAGACTCATGTCCCTGTAGCTAATGTCTGTGTCATTCCCTCCACCCTAGGCCTGGTCTCCAAGTCCTCTCCTAAGAAGCCTCGTGGACGTAACATCTTCAAGGCCCTTTTCTGCTGTTTTCGTGCCCAGCATGTTGGCCAGTCCAGCTCCACCACTGAGCTTGCTGCTTACAAGGAGGAAGCCAACACCATTGCTAAGGTAGCTGGCTTGGCGTGGTGCGGTGCTGGTGAGGAAGGAACTGCTAGTGGGAGATGCCAGGTGGCCTTGTCTGAGGTTGCAGAGATCTGTGGCTCAGAGGAGGCCCTTCCCCTGTCCTTCCCTTAGTAATTCATCTCCTGTTGCTTCCCATTTGTGTGTGGCCCAGCCAGATGTTCCTGTGGTATCTGAGGGACCCTGTGGTCCAGATCCTTCCAGGTTCCAGAAACTATGCAAGGCACTTTGAATTTGTCTCATGTGATCTGCACAGCAACCTTGTAAGGAGATCCACAGGATTCCCACTTTGCTGATGTGAAAACTGAGACCCAGAGGGTTTATGTAGCTCCTGAAGAGTTCATGGTTAAAAATGATAGTGGCAGGATTTGAACTCAGATCTCTCTGGCTCTAAAGTCTGTTTGTTGTTTTCTACTATGCAAAGCTACCTTCCAAGTTACCTGGTTTGCAGAGAACCAAGGAATTGAAACTCTACCACACTTTTAATAAACCCTTTCAGGAGTTCTCACCTGTACTTGTACAAAGTATTTGGAAATGTGTGGGGTTTTTTTATTGTCACAATAACCAGAAAATATGTCTAGCATCTCAAAGGTGGGGCCAGCCCCCAAGTAACAAAAATTCTACCCCAAATGCCAGTGGTACCTCTCTGAAACAACAAGGTCTAGCTGTCCTTCCTCTCAGAACTAGGCTAAAGACATGTACATCAATGAAAAATCACTTCATTATCCAATGGGGGGAAATGGCTAAATAAAGTACAACATGACAATATTACTAAGTGATTAATTTTTACAAAAGGTTCTCGGTAACATGGAGATGGATTGAATTGCAACATTAAGTCAAATAGCAGAAAGCAAAATTATAAGTATTATATTACAGAAAAAAAGACTGCTAACACAGACTTGGAGGAAATACACTAAATTGAGCTTTTCTAAGTGCTGCAACTTTAATTTTTTTTCAAGATTTTCATTAAGAACACTTACTACTTTTTACAATTATATTTTTGTTATTAGCAAAAGGTCGGGGGATGAGGGGGTTCTTTCTGATCTCTCTGCATTCCACCTCCCTTCACATTGGCTTGCTTGATGTTTTGTAGGAGCTCAGTGCTCCCCCATACATCCCCCCAAAGAGGGCATAGAAAACATGTTCTCAAAGAAAAGCTTGGGTTTAAGGACTAAGCAGGAGGTTAAACCACCACAGTGAGGAGTTCACATTTTGTCTCTACCTCTGGCTCTGTGTCCCTGAATAAGCCGTTCTCTGTTCTGCATTTTGTCCAACTGAGAGGCATTGCCAGCTGAGAACAGGAACACTGACTTCTCTATCCTCCGTAAGGCCTAATGTGGAAAGGAAGTGCTGGCCTTTCTTCTCCTTTCCTGCCCAGCTCTTAAGAAAAGTCACTTTTTCATGTTAGGAGCTTCCAGGTGGCTGGGTCTTAGAGAGAAAAGTTGCCATCTAGGCCTGAAGCAGAGGCAGTTGGGGTGGACAGGGCAGGGGAGACATTGGTGAGTTGGCACTGACCACCTTCTTCTCTCTCTCAGTCGGATTTGCTCCAGTGTCTCCAGTACCAGTTTTATCAGGTACGTGAATCTGGCTGGGTAACATGTAGAACCCTAGGACCCTGTGACCACTGGCTAGCCCCTTGGCCAGGGTGATGCCCTCGCTCCTTCGTGCTAGTCCAGCCACCTCCCCACCCTGGGAAGCCATTTGTTGCTGAGGGCACCCTATGTGCAAGGCATTAGGTTTTGGGAGACAGCTAGTGTTGCACACACTCTTCGTGCAGCTACTGTCCATCCCACAGCGTCCTTGACTGCCACCTCCAATGTCCTTATCATTTAATATTCCATTGAGAGGCTGAAACCAAGGAGCCAACTCTGCCTCTTCTCCTCCTGTGTCTTTAAATGGTACCTGTCTGGGCTGGTGATTCCATCTCCACCAACAGCCTAGCTCTTCCCAGAGTTCTGCTGAGGAGAACAGTTGGGCTTTCTGGATGGGCAGATCTCAGCAGCTTTGCTCTGGTTTTAGATCCCAGGGACTTGCTTGCTCCCAGAGGTGACAGAGGAAGATCAAGGAAGGATCTGTGTGGTCATTGACCTGGATGAAACCCTTGTGCATAGCTCCTTTAAGGTAACTTGATATCTAGAGCCCTTTCTATACCCATCTTGGGCCCTCTTGTGAGCTTGACAACAGGTGGTGTGAGACAACCTAAAGGTAAGGATGGAAGAGTGACCAGAAGGAAGAGAGCCAGGTCACTGGCATTTTGGCCACCCTGGTGTTGGAGATATCTAGAGGCCACACTGAAGAATGTTGAGTAGAACCCCCTTGGTCTCCCCAATTGCTGCCAACAGGTTGCATCTGCTCCCTAGCCACATAGCACAGAGAGGCACATACAGGGCAGCCCTAAAAGAGTGCTTGAGTCAGCTTTGGCCTTTGCCCCTGTTTGTCTTATCAGGATGTTTGTTAACCCAGGAAGGCCCTAAAACTCTCAGCTCCGGTAGAATTGGGGGGGGTGGGAACGGGTGCTGAGGAGTAGGGAAAACCGGAAGGGGATATCTTACCCTGTACTGGGGTGAGAACCCTTAGTGGGATGGCGGGAGGAGCTTACTGTAGTCTAAGATCTGTTCCTCCTCATCCCTCTCAGGGCTATGGTAGGGGCTTCTTGTCTCTTTCCCACCACACTGACATCATTGACTTTTCTACCTTCTAGCCAATCAACAATGCTGACTTCATAGTGCCTGTAGAGATTGAGGGGACCACTCACCAGGTGAGCTGTCTGCCAGGTCACACCCAGCCCAGAGGGTGGGGCAGTTTGCCTTCTCCTTCACCTGTGCTGGGGTCCTCTGCCCTTCTCATGGTTTGCATTCCATCAGTTGATCTCTTTTCTGTAACTTTGGCCTCTCCTATTCTGTTAGTATCTTTTATACTCAAGCCTTGCTTATTTAAAAATAAAAAATTCAGCCCTACATTCCCCTGTCACCCTTTTTTTCTCTTCATAGCCAAGCTGCTTGAAAGAGCAGTTTATGTTATTTAATAATAGTGATAGCTATCATTTATTAATCACTGTCCCCACGTGACCATCACTGTTATATGACTTACTGCATTTTCTTTTCCTGAATAGTGTGTGTATCTGCCTGCTACAGGCAAGGAAACCAGTACTAGCAGTTTTCTCAGCCTGGGATGCCCGGCTACCCTTCTGAAAGGCAGCTGGTTAGTTGCTTCCTCCCCAGTCCAGGCATCCCCTCTGTGAAGCCTTCCCTGGTTGTCCTCCCCTTGCGTCCCTACACTGGATTCTGTCCAAGTAAGCGCTCAGTGTGCATTTATCAAAGTAAAGAGCACTCAAATCTAAATAAGACCAGGCTCCAGCCCTGCATACCTGCTCAGTCCAGGGTTAGGGATTATGTGAAGGTAGTAGTGAAAGACCATTTATTCTAAATGGTTACCCAGGAGGCCTGCCAGCTGGCCTAAGAGTCAGGGACCGTTGGGGCTGATGCCCTGATAGCCCTCATACTTGTTTACATGGCCTGGTCAAATAGTAGAGTTACTAGTAGGGAAACAGGACTTGAGGCTTCCATAGGTTGTTGTCACATCTGTTAGAGGCTTTCTTCACCATCACCACCTCCCCAGCTGAGGTGCTCCACCAGGACCAGCACCAGCCCCTGATCAGAACCAGGCTTGGCCCTTGGACTGCCCAGCAGCCCTTTACAGTCTAGTTTAGGGTATAGAGATGTACAAAACCCATGGGGAAAAGATGAAGGCATATTTTCAAATAGGCAGGTACACAGTGTGAACTCCTGGTTAACAAGTCTGGGTGTCAGTAATAAAAAAGGGATGAGATTAAAATGAGGAGGGCTACTTGCCAGGGTGGGTTTTGAGCAAAGAGTGGTGAGAGGATGCCCAGCTTGATAAATAGCTGGAAGGAGGAAGGGGCTTGTTGAAGGCTGAAGAAATGGCAGATGAACAGGAGCCAGTTTGTGGCTGCCTAGAGCAGAGGGTTCCTGCTGAAGAGCTAAGAGGGATCTGTTGAGTTGGTAGCCAGTTTTGACCAGCTCTAGGAGGCAGAGTCATGGCGGGCACATGCTTTTTGAGCTAGGGAGTGACATATATAAAAGGAGCTTTGAGGAAATGGTTCTAGTGGCACCTGTGTAGGCTAGAGGCAGGGAAGCAAGAGAATGCAGACTAATGGGAGAATATGTAGCCAGAGAACCTTTCAGGCTGGCTGGTTAGCTCGCTCGATAGAGCATGGTGCTGTGATAACACCAAGGTCAAAGGTTCAAATCTTTGCACTGGCCAGCCACTGTGTGTGACCCCCCCCCCAAAAGAAAACCTTTTGCAGGCCAAAATGTGCAAGATCATGAAAGGTACGCACAGGTATCAGGGCGGCTGGCAGGAGAGGAGCTTTGAGGAAATGGTTCTAGTGGCACCTGTGTAGGCTAGAGGCAGGGAAGCAAGAGAATGCAGACTAATGGGAGAATATGTAGCCAGAGAACCTTTCAGGCTGGCTGGTTAGCTCGCTCGATAGAGCATGGTGCTGTGATAACACCAAGGTCAAAGGTTCAAATCTTTGCCCTGGCCAGCCACTGTGTGTGACCCCCCCCCCCAAAAGAAAACCTTTTTCAGGCCAAAATGTGCAAGATCATGAAAGGTACGCACAGGTATCAGGGCGGCTGGCAGGAATGAGCAGAAAATGGGGTGCTACAACAAGATGTGTCAGGGTGCCTAGTCTGTGGTCATTGAAAATATCACTTTTTCCTGGTGCAATTCAGAGAAGCTGTGCGAGGGCCTGCGGTTTCATGTCGTTGCCTGATGGTGATCTGGACAGACTGTCCTTCTGGAGCCAAAGACAGAAAGCTCGCAGAGAGGCTGTGGCTGGATTCAAGTAATCCAGGATAGGCTGTTTCCATCTGTGAGGCCTATTCTTGATTACTTGTTTCTGGAGGCAGCTGATGGTCCGCTGCCGGAAACTGAGATGGCTTCTGGGTGACATGGGTATATGCACTTCTTCCTGAGCCAGGTTAAGGTGAGGACCACTAGGCCAGCAGAAGGCTGGTGAGAGAGGGAGGGGGTGATGCTAGTGCCCTGGTCTGTGAGGCAGAAGGCTTCCAGCCAGGCAGTCCAAGAGGCTAGGGTGTGGGCATCTGGATGTATTTTCTGCTCTGTGTAAGTGCTGAAGGTGGCTGACGCTGTGATGCTTCAGCCTCACAGGGATGTCTCCAGCAAACCTTTCTGCTTTTCCTCAGGTGTATGTGCTCAAGAGGCCTTATGTGGATGAGTTCCTGAGACGAATGGGGGAACTCTTTGAATGTGTTCTCTTCACTGCCAGCCTGGCCAAGGTACCTGGGGCACAGGGGGAGAAAAGAACCAGGAGCAGGTGTGGTGGCCACAGAGTGGTCCAGCAGCTTCTTACTAGTGTGCAGGAAGCCACAGGGGGACCAGGACTGTATCCAGACTAAGGCATCTTCCCTTCTCGCAGTATGCTGACCCTGTGACAGATCTACTGGACCGGTGTGGGGTGTTCCGGGCCCGCCTGTTCCGTGAGTCCTGTGTATTCCATCAGGGCTGCTATGTCAAGGACCTCAGCCGCCTGGGAAGGGACCTAAGGAAAACCCTCATCTTGGACAACTCACCTGCTTCTTATATCTTCCACCCAGAGAACGCAGTAAGTGGTCCAGACATGCCCACACGGCAGGGATTGGGGGAGGGAGTGGGTTACGGAACCATGGGCTTTACCAGAGGAACACACCACCCTCGGAGGCCCCAGCCAGCCTCCAGGGTCTCTGGGGCAAGGGAGGAAAGAAGTGGCAGTCAGGAGATTTACACCTCCTTTTCCCTGCCCCAGGTGCCTGTGCAGTCTTGGTTTGATGACATGGGAGATACTGAGTTGCTGAACCTGATCCCAATCTTTGAGGAGTTGAGTGGAGCAGAGGACGTCTACACCAGCCTTGGGCAGTTGCGGGCCCCTTAGCCTTCCCTGCTTCCAAGCAACAGCCATCCTAGTAGGGGACTTTCCTACACTGTGCCTTTATGATCAGCCTGACAGAGCGGAAGCTGGAGCACTTCACCAAATGAGGCCTGGAAATAGGGAGAAGAGACTGGAAAGAGCCTTAGGACAACAGATTAGACCCTGAGTGGGCAAATATCAGACCACCAGTACCCAGGGCTACCTGCTCCCTGAGTTGGGTTCTCAAGAGTGTGTGTGCGTGTGTGTCTTGCTGTGAACGGTTGCCCTGGGATATACAGTGTTTCAGTTGGGGAGAAGCTAAAAGATCAAGAGTCTTTCCAAGTTAGTTCATCTCCTCTCCTGTTACCCTAAGAGCGACTGAGCTCTATATAGGGATGAAGACTATTGAAGGCTCCATTGCCAAACCATGGCCTTTCCTCAATGTTGAAGGCCTATGCCAAGGAGAAAGGAAGGGTCAGAGGCGGCCTTTGGATGCCCCAGGCACACTCCTCTCTGAAATCTTTCTCCAGCCAGCTGCTGCAGACAAAAAGATGACATATCTGGAAAGATGACAACTTGTTTCCAGAACCAGTACCCCAGTGGCCCTAAAGTCCTGTGGCCCAAGGGCTGCACTTGCTTCCAGCCAAGTGCCTGGCATGGGCCCTTTCTGTGTCTCCCCAAGGCTTGGGCACTGGACCTGTCTTCCTCACCACCTAGCCGTAGCCTTGAACCTGTGGGGAAGGAGTTCTTGCCCTGGAAGAGGACAGATAACTGATTTCCGTTCTTTTGACTCTTTTAAATTCTCTTTCTAAACATGGAGTATTAGGCCTGGTTTGTTTCTGACAGAGCTGCATCCTGGGCCTGAGATGAATGTGAGAGGCACTGGGAGTGCAGGGAAGAGAGAAAACCCCCAGAGCATGAATGTGTATGTCCTCTGGACTTGTAGATCAGCTCGGTTTGGGATTGTTTCCATAAGTCTGCTCTTCAGGGATTATCTGCTGGTGCAAGGACTTTCGTTCCAAAGGCTGGGAAGAGCTCTCTAAGCTGCTCCAGCCCCTTCTGTTTCTTGGGCAGGGTTCTTTCCTGTTGTGTCTTCCCACAGGGCCTGTCCTGTGCCAAGCTCTGTCTGTTCCAGCCTTCATCCTTCCTGTCTGTTGCTTTTCCTCTCCAGGGCCTCAGAACTCCAGATTTTCCTGGGTTGAGGTGCAATGGGTGTTCTTATGATTAGGTTTGCAGCCTAACACACATGCCTCTTGCCTCAAGTAACAGGTGTGAGTGGGCCCCTCACAGACCTGCACTCTGGGTGTCCCTAGCTTAAAGGTTCTTAATAGTGAGTGCTTTAAAAAAAAAAAAAAAAGTCACAAAATGGAAGTTTCCCCAAGGTGGAAAACAAAAGAGGAAGTGCTGCTGTAATTGAGAGCACAATGGGCCCCCAAAAAGGAGCCCCACCCCACCTCAGCATCACTGCCTTAATTGTGGCCTCCCCCAGGGCTGGGTGGTGGTCTCACCTCTCTTTCCTCCCTCCTTTTGGGGTGGGAGGGAGTTCCTATCCTCATTTCTGTTTTCCCTGGAGGCAGGTGTTACAAAGCATTGTGAATTGCTGCAGGTGCAGGGACACTGCCCACTCAGGACTCATTCCCATTATCTTTTTCAATTTCCCCGTAGGAGGTCCAGCCTCAGGAACTAACCAGTTTCGAGAAAACCAGATGGTGGAGCAGCAGCTTGGTGTTCTGAGCAGTAACTGGCTGGCTAGCATCTTTCTCTAGCACTGTTGTGCCATTTTCCCTCATCTCAAGGTTGTAAGGCCTTGTCATTCTCTGGTGTCACAGAAGTAGAACAGAGTCCCCAAAGCTCATTTGGTCATTTCCTCTAGCATCATTCCCTGGTGCCTGTGGGGTCCTGCTGCAGGGAAAGGAAAGAGGGGTGCCAGTACCAAACCAGCAATGGCATCTCCTGAAGGAAAGTGGGAGCTCAGACTCTTAAGGCCAGCTGTGGCTTCAGATCCAGGCCCTGGCCCGTGCCTCTTTCCTAATACTGCAAGAGGGGCCTCTCTCTCAAGCCCCACCCTAAGGCTTAGCCCTTGGGTTGGCCAAATCTTCTGCCATCTGGACCCAGCCAAGTTTTTCTGACTAAAGCAATAAGAGGCTCTAAGCTGATTGAGTTCTAAGGACCCTTTCTGCCCTCTTTTGGATCTCCATGTTCCAGGTGGAGGAAGCACCTGTACCACCCGCTCTCCTATTAGGCTTGTCCAAGTACTTGGAGTGTGACTCATGACCAAAGCCCAGGATGGCTTGTTGGGAGTGTCCCTGCTGCTTCTGCATGAAGCCCCTGCTTTACAGGCCTCACTCCCGTCAGAACCCTGCCTGCCCACCTGCAGTTCTTCCACAGAAACATCATTGCCACTTCCCCCTTTCTTTCTTTCCCCCGAGAAGAAGCTCAGCCAAATCTAAAAAACAGGGTCCATCCATGTGGACCAGAGCCAGCACAGTGTCATTATTTTCTGACCAGTTTCTAGTTTCACAGTGTGTTAGGGGCAAGTGATGATTGAAAACTTGCTCCTCAGAGGAGTCAGACCAGACTCAATCTTGGAGGAGGGTAAGATGGGGAGGGGGCCAGTTCACCCCTGGATCTATTCTGGGGCTTCTCACCAGCCCTTTCCATTTGAGATTGTTCTTCGGGAGGCAATAGCCACCATGCCTGATAACAATTCAAGCCATGCCAGGAATCTGCCCACCTGCCAGGGTCAGTTCTTTCAGGTGCCTCTTCAGGGACACAGCGTGTCTCTCTGATTGGGCTTCTAAATCAAAAGCCTGATGTTCGTGTCCCTCTCATAGGGGGAGCTTTGGACACAGGACCAGTTTGGAAAAGGGTCAGGTAAGGGTTTCCACTCTGCACATTGTAGAGGGGTTACTCTGTAGGCCCATGGGTCCCTTACTAGAGAGATTGAGTGAATTTGCCTTTAGTTGACCTGGGACCTTCTGTTTAGCTCTCTCCTGCCTCCCAAAGATTTTGACCATTTTGTAAACGTATAAACTCACCTCTGTTAACATGGCCCAGAAACAACTTTGTGCTAAAAGCATGAGAAATCTAAAGGCAGTCGTTCCCTGGGAAATGGGTCCCATTCTATTCTGCTGCCCCTAACCTGTTCCTGAGACCGCATTTAGTAACCCTTGCAAGGCTGTCCTGCATCCAGTGTCCCAGCCAGGCCAAGTGTATGAGAAAAGTAAGCCCATTTTCCCCTTCAGGTCTTCAGGTGGTTACTTAGCCGCTGTTATCCTTCAGTCACCTTTTTTGTAAAATGGGGGTTTAGTTTTTTGTCTTTCCTGTTTTAAAACGCCAGTAAATACCTGCATTCAACCAGGGGAGAGGAGGTCAGAGGCCTGGCCAGCTGCCTCATTCCTTTAATGTATGGCCTGTCCCTGAAGCAGACCTTCCTCTTTGGGCCCTGTGAAATTCTTTGGTTGTGATTACCCCAAGTTTGACAAGGTCTATCTTGTGCGGCTTCCCCCTTCGGGATGTGGAGGGTAGGGCATCTGCTTCCCACTGTGACTGGGCTATGGGATTCTGACTACCTTGCTTACAGATTCATGGTTTGATAAATTTCTTGTATTCAAAAACTTGAAATGTAGGACGCCATTACGTGTCTGTCTATATTTTTGGAATATTTGTATTACTTAATTAATAAAAGCAGGTTTAAAAAACCTATCCAGGAATGGAAGCTGCCTCCTGACCTGCGGTAGTTCATTTGGGCACTTAGCGGGAGCCGCCCTTATTTTCTTCTTTTCCTTTGGTCACAATGAAGTCAGAGCACCCAGACTGAACGAGCCGTTGCACCCAGCTGGGAGACCAGCTTCAAACTTGGCACTGGGCTTCTCTGCAAGGTTACAGAACTCAGGCTGTGTTAGCTCTTCCCTGGACCCAATTTGGAAGTAGTTCCATTGCCATCCAGCTGCTTAGCAAGCACATGCTGGGTGTCCTGTTGACTTCTGGACATGAACCAGAAGCCCTAAGAGGAAACTGGAGACTTGAATCTTGTGTGTGCTGCTCACTGATTCTCCCAAACCAGGAGACCTGAAATTCAGAGCCCAGCACATAGTAGGCACTCAAATTTTATTGAGTGGACTGATATATGACTAGTGGAGACCCCAAGGAACAAAACAGTGTGACTTAATAACTCTCCTGGCCCCTTTCCCAGACCCTCTTGAGAAATGGCCAGAAGCTTCTCATGGAGGCTTTTGCCTGCCTGGACATCCCAAGCACTCAGCAGGCAGCTCCAGCCCTTGCCTCCTGTCATCAGCATAATGCATCCGTATCTACAATGGCAAATTTCATATCCTCCCACCCTTTTTCCTGCATTATTGATGGACTGTGCACTTTAAAAAAATCAATTAGATCAGGGTGTGGAGCTGGAGTTAAAAGAGAAAAGAAGCTTTTAAAAGTCTGTTCTTGTTTTTGCTGTTTTGAATAGGAACAGATAAAGCTTTCCCTCTGGTTTGAATAAGTCAAGCCCAGGGCTAGATTGGCTGTGATTGGCCAGGAGTGGGAAAATGTGGTTAAGATGCAAACACAAGCAAATATAACCCGGTGTCTGCAGCCATTACTAAGCTAAGGCAGCAGGACCTAGAATCTCCAGCTTTGGGGTAATTCTTCAATACCGTTGCTGCTTACTCGACAGAAAACTGGGAAGACCGGTGAGAGAAGGCAAGGTAAGTTATGGTTTTGAGTGCATGACAGTCAAACAATTCTAGGGAACAAGGTAGAAATGGTAGGAAGAGGAGATAGAAATTCTCTTGGCTCTGTTTTCTGGGATGAGTTCTTTAAAGGGTTCAACCAGGAGTTTGTGGCTAGTTTTGCAAACTTCCTGTTGAGAAGTACAGAACTCCTTCTCAGAGATTATTGAACATTTTCAAAAGGTCGGAAAGACGGAGAAGACTCCTTTCACCTATCAAAGAAAGATAGAATGGGGCAAGGCAGAAGTTAAAACCAGCTTTCTCTGCTGGGGGCCCATCTATAGGGGCATCTCTGAGAATTAAAGGCTACTAGCTTTTACCCTGGAATTTCAAAACTGTCCCTGCACTCCAGGGGTTTCTGCAGTCCTCTCAAAGGGTACTGAATAAATTAGGAGCTGGGGAGGAGGGAGGGAGAGACCCCACTTTGGGGGACTTAGATGTCACAGATGTAATTATGCTTTCTTGGTGGTCCAGTGTGGCAGGAAGTTCCTTCTTAGCGCATATCCTCTCCTGCATTGGGGTCCCTGGCCTATGAACCCCTTATTTCCTAAGTCCCCGCTGGGAAATGGGACTGCTCTCAGCACTTAAGACTCACAGTTCTAACGAATGCCAGTTGGTTTGGCTTTTACCAGTTTGGCACTTCTCTGTCTCCAACGACTGAATGAATTGGACCTTGTCCCCTTTCCCTAGTTGGGTCACAGCATTTGCCTTTAATGACTGAAATCTAGGTTCTGAAGAAAACCTTAACAAATATTTCCTGGCAGTTCTGAGCAATACCAGGGTGGGGCTGCGCTAGTTACCAAATTAAATCCTCAAACACTGGCTGCTACACATCATTACCCTGCTTTAGTCCTGCCATAACAGTAGACAAAGAAGTATGCTTTTTGATTTTTTGCCAAAGCCCATACTAGATAATGGCACATATTCTCCAAACCTGGCTTCATCTATCAAGGCTCAAGATAAGAATGGTCAGACATATTTCTCTTAATAAGCACGATATTCCTCCAGATAGCAAAAGTCCATAGTCCTTTCTGGGTGATTTTTTTTTTTTAATCCTATGTAAATCCAGTAATCTCATCCTTT